CATAGTTTTTTTTTCAGTGTTTTTTTTTTTTTTTTTTTTTTTTTTTTTTTTTGGTTGTGAGCACTACAACAGCTGATAGCTCCCGGGCCGAGGTCCCACTTACACACCGCGGCGAAGTCCCACGTGACCGAATTCTTCATTCCTGACCATTGAGTGGTTCCGTCTTCACCCGAATAGAACGCCCGGTCATCATCACTGTCTCTCGAGTCTTGACTGATAGTTGGCCCAAATACAGTTATAGGGACTGGGCGTTCATGGTAGCCCTTGATGCTTGCTTTTTCTAACCGTAGATTGAGTAAAGAGAGCCAGAAATGAAGAATCCCGACAAGTTTGACCTCCTCCCGGATCTCGACCGGGGGACGGGTTGACCACAACTCTCTCTCTCTCTCTCTCTCTCTCTCTCTCTCTCTCTCTCTCTCTCGCTCTCGCTCTTTTCGTGCAATTTAATTAAAAACATTTCAAATTTATTAAATTAAATTGCAGTTTCTAAGAGACTAAGACTTTCCTTTTTTGTTGAGGTGGCTTGTTTTGTGCAGGAAGAACACTACATCTCCGCCTTGAAGTTCATTCACAGCAAACCGCAAGGAGCGAATGGGTTCGGAGGTGGAGAGGAGGAGGAGGAGGAGGAGGAGGAGGAGGCGGTGCATGATCCAGTCATGGCAACGGGAGGAAAATTGGTTGGCTCGAAAAGGGCTCCTTTGAGAGGTGGGGAGGTGAAATTTAACCCCTTGAGAAAGAAGGCAGTGATATTTGGCATCCAAATCGACGGGTCCACACAAACTTCAGTGAGTTTATTTTGAAACCACCACCACTGCATCCGAACCTATCTTTCAATAATCTTTGTTTGTCAAGCTTCTCTTTTTCGTGAGGCTTAGCCGCCCTGTTCGCAGCTGCTGCCTATTTTTTTGGGGTATGGAGATGAATCAGTGCACTGTACGTATGCAGTGCGGTGATGGACCTGATTGTTAAGCTCAATGGTTGCACTGTTGCACGTGTGTGTGCCTGCAGGTGTGTGTGAGTGTGTGTGTTCTTTGTGTGTGTGTGTGTGTGTGTGTGTGTGTGTGTGTGTGTGTGTGTGCGTGTGTGTGTGTGTGTGTGTTTCTTTGTAAGCAGTACTAAGCACGTTGTACTACTGACAAACGTTTATAGCTTGTTGGGTTTTTTGCAACGCAGGCTGCTTGCCTCTCCTTAAGTTTCCTTTAACTCCTCTCCTTTTTGTCCGGCATTCTTACGATGCTCGAGCACTGGGACCTTTTTGACTCAGTCCCAGTCTGGCTGTTCGACTGTCAGTGCAGTCAAAGTCAACCAGGAAAGCCGTTATGTGATGCTGTGTGTTAAATATACGGTAACCTTGTGACCCTTGTCTCCTTTCCGACCTAGTACCTACTTTTCCTTCCTTTCCTTCCCTCCCCTTCCCTCCCCTTCCCTTCCCTTCCCTTCCCTCCCCTCTCCCTTCCCTTCCCTTCCCTTCCCTTCTCTTCTCCCTTCTATCCCTTCTTCCTTTCTTCTCCTCTCCCTTCTTAAGGTCTTCCTTCCTTCTTCCTTCCCAGACTTCCCTTCCTTCCTTCTCCTTTCCATTCCTTCCTTCCTTCTCCTTTCCATTCCTTCCTTCTTCCTTCCTTCTCTCGTCCTCCCTCCCTTCCTTCCTTCTCTCGTCCTCCCTCCCTTCCTTCCTTCTCCCTTGAAGTTCCCCTCCCTGAGCTCCCTCCCTTTCTTTTCCCTTCCCTCCCTTCCTTCTCTTTTCCTCCCTCCCTCCCTTCCCCCCTCCCTCCCTTCCTCCCTTCCTCCCTTCCTTCCTTCCTTCCTTCCTTCCTTCCTTCTTGTTTTTACCCCCCCTTTTTGTTTTCTTGAACCTTCTTCTCTTTTTCGCTCTCTTTCTGGATAAACTCAAAGTCTCAAACCCTTACCTCAGGATTCAAACTCTTATCTGTTCATGGACAGTTGCCGTCAGTGGGGTCAGGCATCGAATGATCGAACCCTCCCTCCCTTTCTTCTCCCTTCCCTTCCTGGCTGCCTTCTCCTTCCTTCCTTCCTTCCTTCCATCCTTCTTGTTTTTACGCCGCCTTTTGTTTTCTTCAACCTCTCTTCTCTTTTTCGGTTTCTGTTTCTGGATAAGCTCAAACCCTTACCTCAGGATTCGAACTCATAATGTCTGTTCATTCATGGACGCTTGTCGTCAGGCTTCCAACTCATTTGCTGTTCAGTGTTCATCCACCACGTGGACTGAAGACCCGACTCAGTCTGGTCCCGACAGTGCCGACACCTGATTGTAATCATTGTATCCATCTGCTTCACGGTGACTATCAGGATTTGAACTCATGGTCATCCGTTCGACAACAGTTACACGTGTGTGTACCACTGTACCCTACCGTTCAGCCACGTGGGCTGGATGGGTCGGACACTTTTTTCTTGTCAACTCCGATTCTCGGTGTTTGCAGGTGAACAAGTTCGCTCTGGGTTTTGACACCGTGGAAGATTCACTGGCGTGCTTCCAGACAATGCAGGTGAAAGCTCGTTCGGCCAACCCCAAAAGTGTATTGCTACTGATAGAACTTGTTTATCCATGAGGTAGTGAATTGGCATGAGGTTGATCACCGTCATCACCAAGTATGGGCAACAGCCAACAGGGGGTGCAACAAATGGACTGACTCATTATTAAGTTGAGAAAAAACCGGAGGAGGATTCTCATTTAATGTCGTCAATGATTGTAAATTTTGATTAATTTGTATCAAATTATGCAAATGATGGTAAATTAATCAAATTAATATAATGACAAATGTTGGGGCAAGAACTGCCAACAAGTCCTTGAAAGGCAAAAAAGCGGGAAGCTGTCTGGTTCATAAGTTGGTGATGAAGATCATCCTGATGGCATGCAGGTTGTGAATTGCCTTGTGTAAGTTGTGTTCAAAAATAACTAACAGTACGACGAGCGTGCAGCAATTACCTGGGGCCGCCATTCTGCTCACATTGGTCTGAAAACTGAGGCCAGACCGCTTTTTTGCAGGGGCGCCTGGGGCCCCCAATCTGCTCACATTGATTGGCCTGAACTACAGGCCAGGCCACATTCTTGCAGGCCCACCTGGGGCCCCCATTCTGCTCACATTGGCCTGAACTCAGGCCAGGCCAGGCCACATTTTTGCAGGCCCGCCTGGGGCCCCCATTCTGCTCACATTGGCCTGAAGGCCCTGAACTACAGGCCAGGCCGCATTTTTGCAGGCCCAGGTGCAGATGGTGCAGCTGCAGCATATTCAACTAGTAACCGATTTGGCCGAGTCCACGAGTTAGTTGAAGATGCTGGGCCTTGTGCGCATTCCGGAAGGGCCCAGGGCCCAGGGGCAGGGCCCAGCCTTGCCACAGCCTCGGACTCCTCAGCCTCTCCAGCCAGGACAAAAGACTGGTGGGCGCCTGACATCCGACATTCGGGCGTTCAGGCAGTGAGGCAGTGGCGGCATGAGCGTCTGGTTAGCGGATGAGCCCGAGGAGGTAGCTGCCCGGGGGAAGTGAGGTGAGAAAGAGGGAGAGGGGCAGCCATGCCCGGGCTGCTCGCTCCAAAGCCGGTGGTGGAACGGGGAGTGGGAGAAGGAACAGACTCGGAGGCAGTATGACTAATCTGCCGAGGCACGTAGCTGGTGTTGACGAAGGTGGGCTGTTCGATCAGAGTCTTCAAGCGGCATAATGATTGGGATGATGACACGTGGACCGGTTGCTGACATTAGAAGGGCCTTAGCAGGCTACGTCCGATAGGAATTGTACGAGGTAGAGTCAGCGGTACAGTCGCCTGTAGGAGGGCTACATTGTTGTTGTATTGGTGATTGCAGGCATTGGAAGGGCTTTCATTATCAAGATTCGAGAGGCTTCCAGTGGTTTGCTTGTTCCTATTTTGTGTGAATCTTCCTTAAATTTGACTTCTGCTTTCAGTTTCGGCTCTATGATTATGCCAGTGTCTGGCCTTCTGTGAGATGTTGCAACTTGGTTTTAATTTTACTGCTGTAACAGTTCACAACTTCACAATGCTTCACAGTGCTTATTTCCTTCCACCTCAATAATTTATTTCCTTATTAAATTAAATGAAATTAAATGAAATTAAATAAAATTAAAATGAAATTAAATGAAATTATATGGATTACTAACCTCTACAGTAACTGCGGTTTGGTTTCAATTCTTTCAGGAAGGGTCTTTCCGTTGTGTTTCCCCAGTAACTGTTCAGGTGAAACAGTAAATTTAAAGTTTTTTCTAAGTTTTTTCTTAAAGAATTGTTATTACTTGTTAAACATCAAGTTTACGTTGGACAGTTCTTCGGGACATCCGTTAGAATTGGAACTATACAGACTCTATTTCAGAGAAGATTAGCATGAACCCTGCACAAAAAAACCCAACCTGATCACTGAAACACTGAAACTTGACTGGTCATCAACATTACTTAAAACTTAAAAGTGCTGCACGAGCTTGGCAATGCCTTCAGTAAAATGCAGAAGTTTAGTTTGTGGACTATTTTCTCAAGTTTCCTCCGTTTTGAAGTGTTTCCCTCTTTCTTTTGTCTTTGTTTTCTGCCCACTTTCTTTAAGCAAAGTGGAGTAATTTGGCCATCATTGACCGAGAGGCGGAGGCCAAAATTTCAAACAACTTGTCATGCCATTTATAAGGAAACCCAAGGGTCATTGTAACCAAACTTGCCACCAGTTCATAGAGTGGAGACCATACTAAGTATTACTAACTAATTGCAAAAAAAAGTTTAAAAAACACCAAAAACAAAAACGGGCCAAAAAAAAAAAAAAAGCCAAACCCTAATTTCAGTTCTGGACTCGTGAGTCAGGAGCTGAAAGTGGGGGTCCCCATTGACCACTTGTGCATTGACGATCGGTGCTGGGTAGTCGGACTTTGTGCACAGCACCCAACAGGACAGAGTACCCTATCAAGACAGGATGGAGTGGGTTTGAGCAAAAAAGATCTCATTCACTGCCACTTCATGGCTCAGTATTGCATGCAAAGTAACTGTTGCAGTCTTCAGTTACTTCTCTCTCTCTCTCTCTCTCTCTCTCTCTCTCTCTCTCTCTCTCTCTCTCTCTCTCTCTCTCTCTCTCTCTCTCTCTCTCTCTCTC